TCATCCCGCAGCCTTGGAGCCCAGGGCTGGCCAGGACTGCAGGGGCCTCTGGGCCCTGAGGCGCGGTGGCCCGGGCTCCCTCGGGCCCTCCCTGGTGCTCGGCGCTGGAAAGGCCGCTTGGGCAAAGGCCTCTGGCGCCCCCCGCTGGCGGCTCCGCTTCCCGCGTCCCCAGCTCGCTGCGGCGCCCGGGCCAGTCTCAGGCTCAGGTGAGGTGCCTGGGCCGCGAAGTCCGGCCGGCCACGTGCACCTGCACACCACAGCTTCCTGGCTTGTCCCCGCCCTCCATCCTTAGCCGGCTGGGAGGCCCTCCCTTAAACGTGTCTGTGTATACCACGCAGTGGTAACAGGTGACAAACGACTGACCCACGAAGACGTGAATGATCTTTGTTTTTTGAATCGGGGTCTCCCTCCGTCGCTCAGGCTGGAGGGCAGTGGCATGATCACAGCCACCGCAGCTTCGACCTCCTGGGCGCAGGCGATTCTCCCGCCTGTCTTTTGAGTAGCCGGGATTATGGGTGCGCACCAGCATGCCTAGCTGCTTTTTTTTTTTTGAATTGGAGTCTCACTCTGTCACCCAGACTGGAGTGCATTGGCCGCTCCCGGCCACTGCAGCCTCAACTTGCTGGGCTCCAGCGATCCTTCTGGCCCGGCTAATTTTTTGATTTATTGTAGAAATGAGGTCTCACCAAGTTGCCCAGGCAGGTCTCAAACCCGCGGGCTCGGGCAATTCACTCACCTCGGCCTCCCAAAGCACAGGATTACAGGTTGAGGCACTGAGCCCGGCCTCTCCTGCGATTTCTTTCTTTTTTTTTTTTTTTTGAGTTGGAGTCTCACTCTGTCACCCAGACTGGAGTGGAGTGGCATGCTCACAGCCACCACAGCCTCGACCTGCTGAGCTCAGGCGATCCCTCCGCCTCAGCCTTCTAAGTAGCTGGAACCACAGGTGTGTACCACCACACCTGGCTGTTTTTGATCTATTGTTGAGATGAGATCTCACCAAGTTGCCCAGGCTGGTCTCAGGCCCCTGGGCTCAGGCAATCCTCTTACCTCTCCCCCCCAAAGTGCTGGGATGACAGGCATGAACCACCACGCCCAGAATAAATGATCTTAAGAGCATTATGCTGAGTGCAAAAAGCACATCTGGAAAGTGGCATGCTGTGTATCTCCACCCATCAGCATCTCAAAAGGAAATAGTTGAGCAGGAGGATGACCATGGGGGGGGGAGCCTCAGGGGTCTCTTTTGAGGTGATGGAACATTCTGTATCCTGAAGCGGTGGCACTGAGAATCTATTCATTGAGAAAATGCCATAGAATTACGCACAGAGGCAAAAAAGTGACGGCATGCATGGGAAGGTGGGATCCAGTGAGGTCTCTGGTCTAGTTGGCTGCAATGTTTTCCTGGTTTTGGTGATGCGCCACAGCTGTGTACGACGTCACCACCTGGGGAGCAGGTGCTGGGCACACTAGACTGCTCTACTGTTTAGGGGTCACTTCTTGTGAGCCAATAAGTCTTCCAAAATAAAAAAATATTAAAAGCCAGGCACCCTGGAGGAAGTCAGATCGCTCTATGAAAAAGATACCTGCACACACATATTTATTACAGCACTATTCACAATAGCAAAAACATGGAACCAGCCGTGCTGCCCATCAAACGAGGACTGGATAAAAAAAATGTGGCACATACACACGATGGAATATTACACAACCATAAAGAAGGACAAAATTATGAATTTTGCAGCAACTTGTATGGACTTGGAGTTTGTTGTAGTCAGTGATCTATCACAGAAACAAAGACCTGAGCTCCACATGCTTGTTCATAAGTGGAACATGAATGATTATCATAATACTATAAGAAAGGGATTGGCAGTTGAGGGAAACTGCCAGGGGAGGGGGGGCACACCTCATCAACAAGGATAGGTGCATAATGAACATTTGTATACCTAACCCTGAATTGTATTCCACATCTATAAAATAAAAGCCAGGCACAGCAGTTCACACCTGTAATCCCAACACTTTGGGAGGCCATGACAGGAGGATCACTTGAGGCCAGGAGTTCCAGACCAGCCTGGCAACAGAGTGAGACTCTGTCTCCACAAAAATAAATTTTAAGTAGTTGAGTATGATGGCACGTGCCCGTAGTCCCAGCTACTTGGGAGGATGAGGCAGGAGGATCACTTGAACCCAGGAGTTTGAGGCTATAGTGAGCTATGGACGACCAGAGCAAGACCCTGTCTCAGAAAAAAACGTTTATAAAAGCAAAAAGCGTCCGGGCACAGTGGCTCAAGCCTGAAATCCCAGCACTTTGGGAGGCCGAGGTGAACGGATTGCCTGAGCCCAGGGGTTCGAGACCAGCCTGGGCAACTTGGCAAGACCTCATCTCTACACTGAATCAAAACACTAGCCAGGTGTGGTAGCATACGCCTGTAGTTCTTGCTACTTGGAAGGCTGAGGCTGAAGGATCGACCGCCTGAGCCAGCAGGTCAACGTGAGTGTGCCACTGCACTCCAGCCTGGGCGATGGAGTGAGGCTCCAACTCAAAGAAAAGAGAGAGCAAAAAGCATCCCTGGCAGCAATGTCTACCCGGTCACCACTTAGCAGTGCCCAGGGGCCATCAAGGATGCGTCTCCCGGGAGGGCAGCAAGCCCTTGGTGGCCTGATCTCTTCTCCCTGAAAGAAATCTGCCATTTCCCTTACTACGCCAGGCCCGGAGGGCACAGGAGGCTGGCCCTCATCCGCAGCCCAGACTCACCTGGCGGGCCTCTCTTGTCCACCCAGCAGGTGACTCCTGCACTAGCCGGAGGGGCGACCTCCCACCGCTCACGCACCAGCCCCAGATGCACAAGGCCCCCTTCCCCACAGCACTGCTGGGCTGCAGTCTTGAAGAAGGACTGTTTCTGGAGCTCCAGACACAAAAGCACCCCAATGAGCATGCAGTCCTGTTCCCCGGCAATCTGGCTGAGCCGGGGGCACCTCCACGACCCTCTGCATCTGGTGCCCGCTGGCCCTGCTGGGCTGCCTCACCCAGGACCCAGGACTGTCCTTGGGTCCAAGGAGCGAAGACTAGCGAGATCTCACACATGTTCCCGGCCATACGGGTTGCCCACGGCCAGTTTTATCATTGTGAGATGTTTCTGAGGTGGGCGGGAACATCCCAACTTGACAGGTGAGCAGGTGGGGGTGCACCGTGGGCCCCAGATCACACGACAAGAAATGCCAGAGCTGGTCTGGACTTTGGCCATCTTCTTTGTCCCGTGCTGGCTCGCCTGTAGGTGTTTCTTGAACACCTGTTCTGTGCCAGGGACTGTACTGGGTGCTGTACCTGCCATGGTGAGCGGCGACACAGTCTCCACCTCCTGGGCTTTCCTGTCCTGGAGGGGGGAGGCAGAGAGCAGGAAGTCATCGTGGTTAGTGTAAAATGACAAATTGAGATAAGAGAGTTGTGCCAGTCTCTGGTGGTATGTGACCTTAGTGGGTATTGGGAGGAGCTGCCTGAGGAAGGGTAACCTGGTCACAATGCTAAAAGACGACTAAGCGAAGGGAGGAGGGAACTGTGGAGAGAGCACAGCATGTGCAAAGGTCCTGGGGGCAGGAGGGAGCAGGAGGCATTTGAGAAAACGATGGGAGCCCAGTGCAACTGTGGTGCAGAAACCAGCAAGTCGTGAGGTCCAGCCAGTGTTTGCTCATGTTGGCTCTGGCCAGGCTGTGCCCTCAGACCCCTGCAGGCGTTGTCCTGTGGCATCTTCCCAACTGCACTGGGGGACTGTGTGGCTAGTGCATTGCCATTCTCCAGATGAGGAGACTGGGACACAGAGGAGGAGTAACCTACCCAGAATCCCCTAGCTGCACCATATGGAGCTCAGATTCGAAGCCAGGCAGCCTGACACCAGAGCCCATGTGCCAAGCCACTGAGTGGGCTGGGGTGGGCAGGCGTAGGACCAACCACGGCCTGGGGTCTTGTCCTCAGGTGAGCAGAAAGCAGGTCCATGGCGTCCTTGGGTCATCAGTTTTGTGTCTTTTTTCTTTAATCTTTCTTCTCTTCTCTCTCTTTCCTTCCCTTTCTCTCATCTTTATTTCTTTTGTTGAGTCAGGATTTCACTCTGGTCTCAAACAAGCCCCTGACTGGTCTCAAACTCCTGGGCTCAAGCAATCCTCCCACCCCGGCCTCCCAGAGAGCTGGAATGACCGGTGTGGGCCACAGTGCCCAGCCAGGTTAGTGTCTTTCGATGAGGCTGGGTGGGATGAGGACACTGAGGATGTGGGAAGGGGGAGGGCCGGCCTGAGTGACGGACAGGTGGCGTGGAGCTGAGGGGGCACTGGTGGACTTGGTCACGGCTGGGCCTGGAGGCGGGGTGAGAGGGAGAGAGCAGGCCCTCTTCCCCGGCCCCGGGCTTGCGCAGCTCAGGGGATGGTGTGTCTGTTCTCCAGGACGGGTTAACCCCTGGAGGAGAACATGGCCTGGAGGGTCCTGACTCCGGGCTCGGGCCGAGGACTGGCCCAGGGTGGATGTCAGGTTGTCGGGAGACCCCCGGGCTGGGAGTTCGGGGAGCGGTCAGGCCCGGGGCTATGGGTCAGCGCATCACGATGCCTTGGCGTGGACGGGT